GTCGATTCTTGAGTTTTCAACACATGCAGCTTTCAAAGTACAAACGTTATTCCAAGTTTCTTCGTGAAAAAAGATTTAAGCTCATACTCAGCGATTGATTTCAGAAATATGCAGAAATACGGGATGATTATGTTGAGCAGTTGCTATTACCTTCCAGATCTGTTGCATCAAGTAAGACCCGAACCTCAGTATTTCGGACGTTGTTAGCAAGAAAAAAAAGATAACTTTTATTAGAGTCACGACATATTTATGTGGCAATAGATGTATCATAGATAAAATGCTGCACTTATTTTTATAATTATCTCCTTATGAGGCCTTTTCTAAGATTTAAATACATGATTCAATGATAGAGTTTCAATATTCAAGTATCCAAAGAGTACAAATAAGGGTATAGTAACTTTTTGAAGGATGAAATGTAAACATTTAAAGTAATAATGACAATGCCTTATGATATCCACAAATTTGTCATCTTTTCTCCACTCCCTTTTTGTGAAAGAAAGTTTCCTATAATTTATGGCTATTTCTCTGATGCAAAAACAAATATGAGACTTAAACTTTACAAAGAAAAAGCTTTATGGTCTGTCACTTCGACTCTATAGGGACAAATGTTGTAGCAGATTACTATTTTTAAATCTTTTTCGACTCTTGGAAGTGACTCTGAGTAGTCAATATCCTTCTTGCATTTTCCTGATTATTAAATATAGTGTTGTAAGATAATTCCTTTTCTCTCCCCATGCTTGATTCCTCTCTGTCCAAATACCTTGTCTCAACAAAAAGAAAGTCTTGCTGTCCACATTCCTAAAAGCTTCTGCTGATATCAATTTCTAAACATCATCCTCTACATATAAGTGTTTTTCTACTAAATTATTTCTGCACTAGATAGACTTAAGCAAATCAGATTGATTAAAAGAAAAGTTATTCAGTAGAGAACTTTAAACTATGGAATCAAGATTTGTATTGCAAAAACTAGAATTAGAATAATGCTGAAAATCGCAACATGTCGAGACACTTTCAACTCATTAATGAGAATAATGCGCTTTAACTGCTTGAAAAAATGCACATCAGTTTGCTCCATTATATTTTGCAATTCAGTCCTTTTCGAGTTTGACCTCTACATAGGGACAGTAGGAAAAATATAATTCATGACATCAAAGTCTAACATACTTTGCTACATGAAGTACTTTTCCTAAACTAACCTAACTATTTCATTATAGACATAACTCTGTAATGGATTGGCTTAGTGGGTTTTTAATTCCGGTAACAACACCAAGTTAGATAAGTGCAGAGGTTTCATGATACCATCTTATATCTTTAACTGAAGTCGTTTTTCGTGATACAGTTTCGGCAAATATATTAGATAGATTCTTTTGAAAAGAATCTAGGTTTTCTAAGCTGCTGTGCAAGACGTTCTCTATTAGTTTCTTCCTCAATTATTTTCTTGCTATACAGTCCTTTGACGTTGTTTTACAATAGTGTCTATTTGCTTTCTTTGGACACTTTTGGTAATGTGAATTTCGTTCATAGGCGATTAAATAATTTTGAATTAAATTGCTTTACCTCTTCGGGCAAAGTTTGAATTGAAGCATAACTTAACCCTTTGCAGGTTGATTAATCATTTCGTTTGAAAGCTTTATATGACCTGATCTACAATCTCTAGATATTCTGGAGATGTAATCAGAAAATTAACAAGTGGAGGAAGGGTAAATGAATCATGTCAAATGTCTTGATAGCTGCTGCTTCGATATTTACTGATTGACTAGCACAACCACAACACAACCATAGAAGACTAATCTTTAGTAGCAATCTTAGAAGCACGGTGATGGGTAATGTCTTCACTCAAAGTTACATCGCTCTTAAATATCTACTTATTACTAACTTTCCAGTGTGCAGAGATTGAAGCATTGCAGAATAAAATTATTAATTTTTTTCAAGCTTTCTCTTTTTGAAAAAAAAGGATGAACATATCCTTTGCAGCAAATTATACAATACAAGTAAATGTTGATGTCACATTAAATTAACTTTTTTTTACTGAGATGCCATACTATTACTCCGTCAGACTGAATTTTAAAATTCCCGAACAATCCACCGTAAGTTGCACAATCAAGGCGTCACATCCCAATTTGCTAGAAGGAGCTCATATTTTTCATTCCTCACCTCGAACGATTAATACTATCAATATTGAACAAGACAGAACACCAATGTCGGGCATAGCCCGTGCTGCACGGGCATGACATATCTAGTTATAGTAAAAGAGATAGCAGTGAGTTTAAGCATAATAAAAGAAGTTGAATTTGAGCTATGCTTTTCTTGGTGTTGGCTCACAAACATTATTACCGTAGAAATTATGATTTAATATAAAATTAAATATGCTTGCAATCTAAAAGACTTGTTTTCCTTTTAAAATTTTGATTGTTAGACATCAAAGGAAAATTCAGAGCTAAAACGTAGGTTATACAATAGAAGAGGTAATTCCAAGCCTTTCTCTTCTTTTTCTCCTTCATTTTCGTTTTTCCAAGCCGATTTCACCCGTTTTATCGAACAACTAGCAATAACGAATTAATTCGCAATTTATATTAATCTTGTTTTGAGTAAATTTTGAAAGTATAAATCCCCAGAGTAAACTAATGCTGGTCAATCCTTTTTTTTTCTTTGGTAACTAAATTAAGTTATACTCGATGAAGCTGAAATTTAAAATTGATATAATTGGATTTTTGAAGTTAGATATAAATTATCAAACATATTTATGTTTTTAAAAAAGCACATCTATTAGGAGTATAAAAAAAAGTTCTTGTTGTTAGTTACGAAATTTCATTTTTTATAATAACTTTTAAAGGAACCATATTATCTGATTTTTCTATATTTGTAATGCTATATGCACATGCTAATTCTAGTTTACTTAATAAACCGTGATTAAAATTAATGGTGGAAGTAAATAAACTTGGACCTTTAATATATAAATTAGACATATATCATAAATCTATAAAGGGCCTTGGGGAAATGGAGAGTAGTTTCACTCTGTGAAATACTAAGCATCGCGCCCTTTAATGATCTTTTTGTTATGGGCTAAAATATGCTCATATTTAATGATCAAATGAGGAAGCGATACGAGGAATCGAAGACAGAAGATAGCCAAACCCGAAGGCAATGATTTCACTCATCATCGGAGAGGACGATACTCATAAAGAAAAAATAATTGCTGCCATCCAGTAACATTCAATTTAGATTATTCTAGAACATTAAGTGCATCATCCGTTACACAGAATATGGCACTCACTACCTACCCTTACACATTCTTCAATGGTCCTCATAGTGTCATTAAAGATGAGCTTAATCATATGACCTTATTCTCTAGGTGTAACTATAAATAGTGAGCTCTATCATCATTGGAAGGGGAGGAATTTTCTAAGAAGCATATACATACTTCATCAAAACACTACAAAAAAAACTGGATTTAGCTACGAACGTCGTCGCTAATCTATCGCTAAAATGCTCGTTGCTAGAAGAATCTTTTGATAATCCGTCGCTAATCCGTCGCTAAATGAGATTAGCGACGGATTTTTCTGTTTAGCTACAGATTTTGTCCGTCGCTAAACCCTGGTTTTTTTAGTAGTGAAAGCTCAAATAACATTCTACTTTCTTGTTTATTTGCACTGTTCTTATTACTCCTAGTAGCTCTGCGTCCAGAACCGAGATATCTGCGTTTATTTCGATTTTAAGGTTAAGTCTTATATTTCTGTCTATTTCACCTGTTATATTTGAATCAAATTAATTCACCTGTCTATAAACCACGTATATATTCAACTATATCGTTTTACGGGTAAACAACTTGGCGCCCACCGTGGGCCATAGACAGCTGTATAATTGAATTGATCCTTGCATCTCTTACTAACTTATTTGATTCTTTGTCCTTAGCAAAAATCAATAAAAATGGCAGATAATGGTGTGAACAACACACAATGTTGAGGCCCAAGGAAATCAACCTCAACGCGAAGATTCTATCAATGATACCCCACGCGGGGAACGAGGCCATGTCGGTCCACGACGGCCGATATCCGCTACATGTTCGGGAGGTGACTCCTGATGACGTTGAAGAAGAGCATGTTGTCGAAGCGGTTAGGGTCTTGCAAGAGAAATAAGAGGCCATTATAGGTCATCTCACACGACAGGATAAGGTCATGACGGATCTGAAACAGGCATTGCCTGAGCTTCTAACAACGCACATGGACGAGGTCCAGTTCCTCCCGGTGCTCCCGCAAATCAAACAACACAGAGGGTCGACAACAACACCTCGAGGGGCAAGTTCGGCTTCGATGGGGCGAG